TAGGACGAGAGGAAATGGCCTCAAGTTGTGCCAGGGGAGGTTTAGATTGGACATGAGGAAAAATGTCTTTACTGAAAGAGTGGTTAAACATTGGACCAGGCTGCCCAGGGAAGTGGTTGAGTTACCATCCCTGGAGGTGTTTAAAAGACGTGTAGATGTTGTGCTTAGGGACATGATTTAGTGGTGGACTTGGCAGTGCTAGCTTAACGGTTGGACTTGATGATCTTAAAGGTCTTTTCCAACATAAATGATTCTATGTTTCTATGAACTGCCTATTGTTTTTAATTAGCCTACTTCAACGTGAAAATGTTTTTCACAAGGGATCTAAAAGTTTCCCTTCTGGTCCTCATTTATGGAAAGACCTGAACTCATGATTAACTCTAAACATGTGAGTATTACCCTTGAGGTTATTGAGGCTATGAACTTGCTTAGATATAGAACCTTGTTTAAGTACAGCACTGAACCAAAAACCTGTGGATGATCATATGCTTGTAAATTAGAAAGTGGAAATGATATTGATTATAAAGCATCCAATTTTCATTGCTAAAATCTTTAAATGTAAGCGAACAGCACACACATTGAAAAATGAGGTTTCCTATTATAGGTAAAGCATTTTGTTTGCAGTAAAGTCATTTGTGTGTCAGCTTTGAATTGAAAAGTTCACATTTGGAGAAGGTAAGTGGTACTCATGCTGTAGATTAGAGCTTCTCATCCTTTCGGTCGTGTTTCTATTAATTAGAAATTCTTCCTACCTCATCATAGGTCCAGGTTTAGAGGTTTGAAAAATCCTGTGGTCTTTTCTGTTGCTTTTCATGCCTTTTCAGGGAGGTACACCTCATAGGTTTAGGGTCTAGCTACTGGCTACCAGTGGAAAAAAAGAAAGGGTGGAAGGGAGAAAGGGAGGAGGGGAGGAAGGAAGGAAGAAGTGAAGGAATGGAAAAGAAAGAGAAAAAGACAGGAAAAAAAGAAAGAGAAGCAGAAAGAAAGTGAAAAAAGTTAAAAAGAAGGAAAAGGAGAAAAAGAGGAAAAAAAAGAAAGAAAAGTCACTGAAGAGAAATGCATTTCACATTCTTTAAAAGATACATGCATCAAATTAATAGTCAATAAACTCCAGCAAAGAATGAACTGCATAGTACAGATGTTCTGCACGTAATAGTTTCCTGCAGTTTTTCCTTTGACAAACGTCCTTATTGCACTCGTCTTTTGAAGCATATGAAAGCAGCATTTAATCGAAATGGGTCCCGTCTAGCACACTGATGCTGCTTCATCTGACAGCAGCCAAACTGCCTCATGGAAAGTAGTTTAGCTCCAAATTAGCTTGCTTCTACGTTAAATACCAGCTTGCCTGAGAGATCTTTGTGAAGACTCCCATATATATCTGTAATATTCTGAGCTTTGAAGCATATGTGCCCAAAAGCTGAGATAGTCTCTGTTGAGAAGTACAGTACAGTACTCCAGGCTTCATCATAGACTAGAAATGGCAATTATAAAGTATTTGAATGCAGCTGACAAGACCCTCTATAAAAGCAGTGTTACAGTGAGTATCAGAGCCAAGAAAAGTCTTGGTAGTCTGGGCAGATACTGTTATGAGGAGAATCATATGCGTAGTACATAAATAGATGAGCCAGGATCAGGATGGAGCAATTAGAGAAATCTAGATTCCCACATCTCTACCAAGTCTATTTACAGTATAAATTACTGCTTCTTTATACATCACAGCTGGTCCTGGAGAGTCACAATGAAATTGGGGTTTTGGTGTGCTAGATGCTGTACAAAAATAGGAAAACATACATGTAGTCAAAACTAACTGGGATATTAGTAAATTAAATACTAATTTAGTAATTTTTAGTAAATTTAATACTAATTAAGTACCAGATCATGGAGAGGGGAAACTTCATCATTTCGGTTTCTAAATCATTAAAATGTGGCACGCTTTTGCCCAGGACCTTGCCTCAGGCAATTTCTGGCTATGGTTCAGAAGTCAACACAGCAAGGAAGTAACCTCAGTAGGCAGCCTGCATGCAACATCTCTGTTTGGAGGCTGTAAGAGTTTAAGAGGTTTGGCCAGGGCATGCCAGTTCTTAAGTGCCAAAAAACAGATCCTGGCACTGTTTAGTTTGTATCATATAGGTGTAGGCACGAAAAATGGGATAAAAACAGAGAGAAATTGTCCTGCAGTCTGTCCTACCATCAAAAGCCTTGTCTCCGTCTGCTGAACAGTCCTATGCATTTGTGATTGCAAGATGTCTCACAAAGTTGTTTGCTACTTCACTACTTTATTCAATATCCTGGGCATGGGGATGGCAGAGTACAAATGTCCTCCTCACATTCCTACTTTATGTACCTTCACCTGTGTTGCTTAACGGCAATAAAGTGTTAAACCACCTGCTTCATAAAGCAAATAGTTATTACGTGTTGTCTTTGAGCAGGCAAAAGTCTGTGTTTGTGATCACTGGAGCAAGTCCAGCATCCTAAGGAAGTTCTGACTTCTCACCCCCACCTGAACCAACATTTTGAAATTTGTCAGTATTTAGGATTTTACCCCTCTCACTCCAAGAGCCTGAATGAAGCCCAGACCTGGTCAGCATTGCTCAAAGGCTGGGACTTGGCTGGTGCTCAAAGATACACACAATAAAATGGAGATCCAGTTGCAAAGTAAATGATAACTTTTAAAAAGAGCTTACAAAAATAAAAACCATGGCAAATGTGAATGTTGGGTCAGAATGCATTCCCTGATAGCTTAGAACAAGAGGTAAAGTGATGGAGAAACTGGGTCTCATGGGTTTCATTTTAATGTTCCCCATGGAGCTTTCCCCTGCCAGGTTTCTAGCTGAAAGTCTCTCCTGTACGATCACAGGGTAGTCACCGCAGACATTTTTCAAGGCCAAATCCCTTTCAAAGCATCTGAGAGGGTTGGAGAAAAGTTCAAAATGATTTAACAGTAGAACAGGAGGTAATATGCCCAAATGATGAGGTGAAACACCTACAAATCAGAAAAGGGTTAAAACAGTCAGTTCTTCTCCCTTAGCTGCAGTGGATGGCTCCTTGAGACCATCCCTTTAGGGATGACCATAAAATAATCAGTCTCTCACTAATACTCTCCTAACCTTGGTGACATATTTAGTCACACAAGACATGAGTTAAATCAAAAAGATGAGCATCTGGAACTTTCCAGTGCATCTGTATGGCCCCCGTGACTTTTGCTTGATCCCCTTAATATCCCCATAACATATACACCCCCTCTGTATAGATATGTACAGTAAATGCCATTTCACAATGAGCTCAAGGAACCAAGATTCAGAAGATAAGGTCCTCCAATCCATCAGGAATTTGGTGTCTAAGTACCTCTGAAGACCTGACCCTATGTGAAATTTCTGGGGTTACACAAAATGTTTACGATTAGGAAGGACACTGAATTTAGGCTTTCTGAAGTCCCCTTAACGTCACAAGGACTCTCTGAGGGGTTTAGGTAATACTTATCTGGACGCTGTTAATTGCAATGCAATTTTTTGTTACTCTGCAGGGCTCACCCAAGTGCAGGTCATAGATGGATGTGCAAGCTTTTCCAGCCTGGCCATCTCTAGCTCAGGCACAAACTGGAAACTCGTCTTCACTGTCACATCACCTCCAGGTAAGCTCCATTTTCTGCATGTTTTTTGATTTGGTTAACTGAACTCAAAACCCTACAGGTAGTCTGGATTTATAAAAAGGGAATTAAGCTTTGTTTGAATAAGTGGATCAATGCCAAACCTCTAAATAGCCTGACTTCTGTTACACTTCCAAGTTGGCATTACCCAGGCAGCAAGAGAGCTGGGTGATTCCTGTGCTGTTCACGCAAGATCCCCAAAATCAGGATGAGTTAGTACAGAGAAGTATTGCCAGAGAAAGGTATTTCTTTCTTCCTGGATTCCCTAGCTATGAATCTCTTGTAGGAATCAGTTCCTTAAGGTCAGCTGAGTGACCCAAACAAACTCTTTCTTATAAATTAAGGCCTCTCATTCCCTCTTTTTTTTCCTGTTTGCGTTGAGTAATTTTCCATCTATGCCTTTTACCGACCACTTATCTGCACCTGGTCATCTTTATGAGTGCGACAGATTATGCACACCCAGAGCATGCCTCCAGGACTGGGCTCTGTTAGGGTCTCTCTGAGCAACCCAGTAACGGTGAAGTGGCAGGTGTGCTTATGCCTCCTTAGAAAAACCAGCCGAAGGGGATGTCGGCACCTTGGCAATACGGCACCGCGTGAACTCTGGCTTGTAAAAGCCTCAGGGCATCTGCACAAGAGAAGCACCTATCCAAGTGTTTGGGCGCCTGAATTTATCTACAAGTCTCACTCTGAAGGTATATGGGAGTCAAAGTGCTGGTTTCTTGTCTCAGAATGACTGCTGAGGCAAGTCAATGGAGAAGCAGGAACATGCTCTCTGGCATGTAGTCCAAAGACATATTAAGATATAGGTGTTGTAAGACCATGTGTAAAGCCTCTATTCTGGTATTACATATATACATACATATATGTATATATACGTATATATATCTAGATAGATAGATGATATAGGTATAGATATAGATGATATAGATATAAGCATAGCTATAGATACAGGTATCGCCATATATATTTATATATATATATTTATATATATATATATATAACCTGAGACCCATGAGGTGGAAAGAAGCCTAGGAAGGACAGGTAGAAATATTTCCAGGAGAGGTAAGGCGGTGTGTGTGCCACTGCATAAAGCCCTGATGAGTACTTCTTTGAAGTACTGAACATAATTTTGTTTACCCATGTTCAGAGGTGATTTCAAAATGGAGTAGGTACAGACTGAGAGTTTTTAAAGATAGCGTGGCTTGTTTCACCCAGAAAAAAACAGAGAGAGCAAATACATCAGACAGGTGAAGTGGCCAAGTGGGAGCAGCTAATGAAAAAATCTGAGCTAAAAAATTAGAAGAAGGTTACATTTAGACTGTATTTTTCTGAACAGCCTACCTTAATAGATAGGAATAGTGAGAGCAGATCAAACTGCTTTTGGATGGAGGTCAATACGCTTACGGATGATATTGTACAACACGGTACACACAATAGAATGGGGTAGGGTTTATAATCCAAGAAATCCCTTCCTACCCTGGGATTAAATGAAGATCCAGATTTTTTTTTAATGAGAAACTTTTGCTCCTCCTAGTCACAAGTGGCTAATCAACATCGAGTGTTGCCCATGGCTTTGCAAAGGGAGAATTGGGGTGCAGGGAGTATTTGGAGGTGGGCCTTTAAAGGGGGGGCATATGTCTATTTTGAGGGTGTATGCTGCCTAACCCCCACAGCTCCCATCGCCTTCACATCAGTGAGAGCAGATGGAAAGCCAGCACCTCACAGGATGTGACTCTTTAGTGGGAAGTACAGCTTAATGAAATGTGTTTTGAAAGCTACTTCAGGGGAGTCACAAAATTTTCTTTCCTCTAAACAAAGGCCAAACGCAGATCCCTTTTATGAAACATTTAGCCAGTCGGAGTGTTGCAAAGGGATGTTTACAGCTAGCAATGTGGACAGCCGATGCATCTGTGCAGGTATCACCTGGGCAAACCAGAGTATTGCACACTTTTAATATGCATTGCAAAAGCACAATCCGAACAAGTAACCCCCTTTGCTTGTTTGTAATTGGGAACCATGCTGGAGACAGAATAAAGGCTTTTATACTGCCAGACTCTTAGTGAAGATATTTGCTTATTGATTGACATAAACAAGCAAAAATTAAACAATCAAATAGTAGATGTTTGGGATACATTTTCACGACCAGGTTTCTGCACATACCCTGGCATAGTTTGCGATTTGGAGACATCTCAGAAGATGCAGTTGACATTGAATGCAATAATCTCAAGTGGTGGTTCCTGGGGAGAGTAGACTATTCATAGCACTGCTGCATACTCTTGCTCCTTGTTTTACAGTAATATTCACTTAACTGCTATGGAACCCAGTGGACTTGATCCATCCACTTTCCATTTAAACCAACAGCAGCCTACTCGCAAACTGTTAGAGTAGTGTGAAGCAGCTTTAAGCACCTGTCTGTGTAAAGACCTCGATATCTGTGAGGTTACTTCTCTCCCCTCAACTGAAGTTCGTGTTTGTACCTGCAGGCAAACTTTTCCCAATTGGAACATGCTTCCCACATTGTTCTGATGAAGCCCTGCTTTGTTCAAGTGGACAATATTGACACAAATCTAATTAGTTTCAGATAAAAATACTTACAGCTACTTACCTTAGTCTCCAAGCCTCCATCTGACAGTTTCTGATTTTTTTTTAATGAATTGATGAAAAAAGGCTTTTAGATTTTTATTAAAAGTGGAACTCAAACAGGTGAAAGAAATATCCATACGTCAAAATGATTAGAATTGTGGGGTTAGGACTGATAATGAGTCAGGTCATAAGATAGGTAATGAGTTGATGCACTAATCCACATCTTTCAAATTGGTCTATAGAGAGTACCAGGGCCAGTTTTGTTAAACTCCTGTCCTTCCCAGGCACATCTCCATTCAAAATATATTTTGGAAGTGGTCCAGGGAACCAAAACCTCTCTATATTTCGGATTTTTAAGATGGCAGTATTAGGCATCTTCCAGTCCTTGAAGCTCAGATGCTGAGACCCAATGAACTCTTGACCACAGAAACTATGAGTAGTGGCTGGCTTCATTCTGACTTCATTTCAGAAAACTTTAGGATCCCTCATGATTGGGTAATGAAAAGCATTACCAAAAGCTTGTGTGCGTCAAGAGGCTAAATATTTACCATGCTAACAGTAAGGACACTGACTTTTTTTGTTTATAATGTTCATTACGGACATGGTGGAAGATATTAGCTAGTCCACTGAGAGTTTTCTGCATCATGGACTTAAGCTTAATGATAGTGAATGTTTCTAGGTTCCCCATAACTTACATTCATATGAATCAGGTATAGCCTGTAAAAAATGTGCACGACTTAGCACCTTTCTTGTTGCAGCCAGCTTCTCTGTCTTGCTAGGCAGAATGTGGATGTTTTCTGTCTGGACCTGATCTGTTTGGCCTCAGAAATAGATATTTTTCTGGGTTTGATAGTCAGCTGGACAAATTCATGGAAGAAATATTAAGGATTGTTAAATATAAAGAGGCTGTCTCTGCTTCAGGAAGCACTGAAAGCTTGAAACTTACATTGGAGAAGTATTGTTACATATTTGGTTTGTCCTGCTACTCAGTCATAAACAAATACTGTTGGCTAATGCTGAGTGTGGAGATACAGACAGCCTTATGGGCTGTTCCTGCATGCATTTTTAACAACAGCATCACTGTTGAAAGGCTATAACCTGGTGTTTTAACTGTGAAACCCCTGTGCTTACTTTTGTAATAAACTCTGACTGCTTTAAATTCTCAGGGGCTAAGTTTACCGTGCTGTCTCAGCCATTTACCATCTTCCCTGTCCCCACGGGAGTGAAGGCCAGCATGATCCTTGTTGTCACACTGAGTTCAGCAGCATCTGCATTCATCCTCACTCTTGCATTCTGCTGGTTCAAGAAGAGCAAAAGCAACAGTAAGTTGGAAATGCCCACTAAAATTTATACTTGCAGACTCCCTTTTTTATTTAACAAATCTCCAGAGTGGCCACAACAGGAATCAGACAATGTCACTCAGAGAAAGCTCTAAGTTCAGCAATTAGCAGTATAGTTTGTAGTTCCAGGGTTATACAGTTTTCTGCCTGTAACAGATGCCTGAGTCCTGTCTGGAAAAAGTTTTAACTGTATGTGAAACATGATGAAAATCAGGTTTCTGTAGTGCAGAGAAGGAATTGAGAAACAAAGGAAATATTTGCTATGATTTCAATGATCCATTCAGCCACTACATTTTCCTGATGAAGGGTGACATAGCAAAATGTGGTGAGGTTATGCAAAGCCTTGGTGCTGACCAAGGACTAGACACGGCTGCAGTGTGAATGCCACAGAGACAGCGGCACAGCCGTGCTCACATCCCATATCACACTATCAACATCATACGAGTCAAAGTGGTAATGGGAGGGCTACAGTTTCTCTGGAGTTCTCCCTCAAACAAATCCACACCTCTACTGATTTACCTTAAGGTTGCTTTCTTTTTAGCAATGACCTTAAAACAAATATAGCTTTCCCACTGAAGAAGACATAAAGATATTTGCATAAGAGAAGAACTGAAGATAAAAGGATGTGACTGTAGCTGGTAGCCTGACTGCCAAACAGCCACCTTAAACTTCTGGATATGTTGAAAGTTACCGATAACTTGGCCTTTCAGACACACTAACTGAAGTTGGGACCTAGCCAAACGTACAGGTAACTCGTAGTGGAGGAGTAAATGCAAATCCCCGTTAATAAGGCATCTCCCACTAGTTTCAAGACCTTCTCACTAGTTTCTCCAAACTTCTTTGAAAATCCAGGCTAAAGGGGCTTTCTCCTAAACTGCACCATGAGCACTAGCTGCAATAGGTCTGAATTTCTAGTATTACTGAACATGGTGAGAACGTGAGGAAGGATTTTACTGAAGAGAAAAGGTAGGATCCCTAATGGCAAAACACAAGATGGCATGACCGTAAAAAAACTCTCTCTGCTTTTGGGCAGAAAGAATACTTCTAGATCATCTGTTAATTCACCAGCAATGTATTGTTGTTTGAATTAATAATTGCTGCTGAGCTGAGGATGGATTGAGAGTGATGCAACTGTATGCTTCATTACAGAAACGAGGACTGAACGGCCTGATGTACCACAGGCCGGTACCAAAGAACCACGGAAACAAGCACGGCCTCGTGCATCTCACATCCAGCCTTGCTGCAATCAAGGAGAAAATAAAAGTGGTGTGCCTGTAGCAGAAGGTGAGACTGCAGTTTGACAATAATTCAAATTTATTAATGGTCAGACATCAAAAGAGTTGGTTTAGGTCTTTTTACAAACTGTAGGTTTGTATAGGAACAATGGCAGAGTTCTTCTCAGAATGTCTATCACTTTATTACCTCCTCCTTCTCCTCCTTGGTATTTTTCTATTTATCATTTTGTCTCCTTTTATATATATTTTGCAAAATCCTAGCCCCACTGAAGGCAGCAGCATAATCCCCCTTACACTCAATGAGTCCATGATTTCACCTAATGCTTTTGGAGTAAGGCAGGGACTGGTGTTCCCGCAGTGTCCCCAGCATGCCTGGAGCAACAGGGCTTCTCCCTGCCCAGGTCTCCAAGTGCTGCAGCAATAACTGCAGCACAGTGCTGGAGCGCAGTGCTCCAAAAGCTCTGGACAAGCTTGCAGGCTGTGGAGGACTGCAGTGAGGTACACTGCAGGTAGGAAAATACACTCAGGCCTCATTCGTGTGGTCTCCATTACCTCCACCACTCACTGGACCTTCATGCCGTGCTTTCTGAGCAGTGAGTCCAAGCCAGCACCCCAAAGAGGCTCCATTCCCACCCACCCCACTCAGTGTTCCCCTTTACTCTCTAGGGTCCCTGCCACAAACACCCCTCTGCCGCACACCTCCTCGAGACTTGTCTTTTCATCATCTGCTGATCAAACACGACTTCTTCTGAGGTCACGGAAAAGCTGACAGCCTCGGGGGCATGTGGCTGGCAGCATAAAGCACTGGCTTCCCTCTCTGCAAGTGTGAAATGTTCTCATAGTAGTTGGGGTTTTTTTTTTGTCTCACCTGCCAGCAGCGCATATCTAAGGGCATTCAGATAACCCCGCTGAACCACACATTTACTCTGCTCTGGGAATTTCTTTTTCCCCCTCCTTCCCAAAGTCTGTGGATTACATAAGAGGCAGGAAGAGGTGAGCTGGAGTTTTATCTCCTTTTAATTAGCGTCTATTGCAAAAGCAGGGGGAGAGAGGGAAGGAGAGAGGAAATTCTGCAGTTTATGTGTTTTGATATTTGCTGTACTCCTCCAAAACACAGCATTCAGCTGTGTGCCTTAGGATACATATCTGCTATAAATTCATTTTTTATCTAATTTGTCTGAGATCTAAGCTTCCTGTGGAGGTCTGAGATCAAAGGATCTGATTCTGTCTGATGTCGGCTCTGACACATAATGCGTGCTGACTTAGTTCTGTCTATAAACTCGCAGTGGGAGGCTGCCATTCTCCCTTGGCACCTTTACATAGTGAACTTTCATTTCGGCTGGGGAGGCTGACAGGTATAGCGTTGATTGGAGCTGTCGTGTAAATAATTCATGGAAATATTTTTTTGTCAGAAAAAGGCAATCCAGCCACTTAAAGTCTTTTAGGAATAGTTGCAAGACAAAAAGATTCCCCAATATGTTCAAATCTAAACAAGGATAACAGTATCTTAAGTGAACTTAATACATATGACTTGGAAATGTCTAATGTTTGATTTCCCCTTATTTAAAGTGCTGTTGGTTTTGGAGAGAGAGAGAGAAGAAATCAAAGCTGCAGTCTTTTTGTTTAGTTTCTGCTTTATAGCGGTTCCCCCCATAAGAAATCTCACCTTTCTAACACAATTAAGTGCTCGGAGCCTTTATTATTAATCACCACAGTAAGTCTTGCAAGGCAGAGTTTTTCTGTTTCGTAGGTGCTTACACAGTGTAAAGTCCAATGGAGGTAGGGGCCAAGACTGTTGTCCCAGAACGAGTAGCTAAGGATGCAGATCAGGAAGAAAGCTGTATGCGTAGATATGCAGTACTGCAGAGGAGAAGGGATCAAGATACTACCTTGTCTGACCTTGGTGTAACAAAAAACCTCCTCAGCATCACATAATTATCCTTCTCTTGAATTCAGTAACTTTTCATTGAGTAACGCATGGTTAACAGAACGGCACCTGGAGGTGGAGGAACATATTGTTTCTTTTTTCTTTTCGCAATTTATTCTGGTGCTTCATCACCTTCACCATTGAAAAGTTGTATCCCATAACAGCTTGCGTTTCCTAGCTTGAATTTCTAGTCCTTCCAGGTATTGTACCTTATTGATCCTTATCCTGAACTCCTTGGCCACCATTGCCCAGAAATCACTGTTGTATTCCTGAAGAGGTTCTCCCACTCTGCAAACAGGGTCTCCTCGGTTGCTCAGATCAGCTCCGCTTTCTTCCTTTCTACCAGTTTGCCATTTTTTCCACCTTTTACAAAATCTCATCGGAATCAATTTTAGTTTTAATTCCAAATCACTGGTGGAAACACTGAATATTACCCATTTCAGTGGTAGTGTCTGGTGCTGCCACACATCCCCACCTCTGAGAATTATTTCCCATATACAATTACTGCCTGAGCTCTGCCTGTTAGCTGGTACTTAATCCAGATAATCATGTGTTTTATTGATATTGAATAGTTTGTATTTAATTTTATAAAATCAGGATATTTTAGATTACTATGTCATATAAATCTCAAGGCAGTATTTCTGAAACTGCTAATATCCAGAAAACTTTTAGCCTCCTCCATTAATTCAAACTCATTTGAAAAGACCTATTTTCACAGTTGAAAATGTCACTTTTGAAGATGAAGAGGGCATCAACACATATCAAGAAATACCACAAAGCTCTGGTATAGGGGATCATGACCTGATCATCTTGTTTCTGTGTATAAAGAAGAAAATTGAACCTAGTGATTTATGTAATTTGTACTTTAAAATGTCCAACTACCTAATGTTAAAGCAATCTTAAGAAGGAAAACTGTCACACGCAGAAACATGTGTAGATCAGGAAAATTTACCGACAACTTTCCGGTGGATTTCCAAGAGGTCCAATCTTGAAACTGAAAGCTATGAGTGTACAAGTAGAAAAAAAAAAAACCACTTCTTACCAGGAAAAGTGAGTATAAGCATGAAGAAATAGGGAAATTGTAGAAAATAAATGAAGATGGGGAGAATTGTTATTAGCCCTGCTAAGGGTTAAACTTCAGGGACAAACCTGAAAAATAAGGAGTTGTAACAGCACATTTTCTGGGATCATTTGTGGTAAGGACCTATAATATATGCTGATGAACAGACTGCAAAAGCCGTCGTTTTCCACTAACACATGAGATATGTGGACTAGAACTAGTTCTGAATTTGGAACGAGTATAAAAGGTTTGGGTCTAGGCTGGTTTCATTTTATTTTCAGGGGGAAGGGAGAGGATTGCAAGAATTTTACAAATGTTTTTAGCGTCCAAATGAAGCAGACTGCCAATCTTGCACTGAACTGATGGCACACCCTGCCAACTCAGAAGCCATCTGTTGTAACACTACAAGTGATTCTGCCTCTGTGGTTGATAACTGTTTGGTTTATTAAGATGTAAACATTCTTTGTTTCCACATGAAAAATGTATAGTATATATTTTGCTTTTTCTGCATTTTTTCAATGGCATTTGTTAAACAGCATTGCAGGTTACAGGCTCTGCCTTGAGTAGGATTCAAATGTTGGAAATAAAAAGTTCTACCTTATATTACAGCCTGATTCATAAAGGGTTGATGCATTTTATAGATGGGTAGTATTAAAATTATTATCAGTCTTAGCAATACATAGCTTATTAACCAGCTGTACTCTATATACTTTATTATTAAGCATTTATCGAAATATTTGAAAACCATTGGAGGATGCTCTAGGAGCTCTTAGTGTACCAAACCAGCTGTTTTGGCTGATGTATATTTATTTGTGGAAACAGCTTATGGTTATTCAGTTTTAACAATTTATTTCTGTCAAAGTAAAATTTGTGGCCAGTTAGAATTATTTCCCCAACAATAACTGCTTTTTCATTAACATCTTTAACACACAGTAAAGGCATAGAAGGGTAAGGAAGATGAAGGTAGGGTCTTACAATTATTGTAAAGCACAAACAAGTCTTGCTTTCACAGATATGGAAGGAACTGGAGCAGTGGGACATGCCACAGGACGACTGGAGGAGCTGAACCTGCAGCCCTGTGAAGCCAAGTCAGTGAGAAAGATGAGCACCATCCAACGTAAGACAGGTAACAGAGACACCTTTTCTTCAGCTCGGGACAGTGACAGTCACCAACAGCCACGTGAAGGAACATCTGGTGACTCTCTGGAACTTCAGCACCCAACAGTCCCGAGGTGTTCCAGCCAGAAGGATGTCCCCCAGCCTTCAGCTGGCTACAACAAGGAAAGAGAGAAGTCCGAAAGGATGCCCAAACCTCAGAACGATGTCGGAGAGCATGCTGCTGTGGTAGCAGCAGAGGTGTAAGAGAAGTGATGTGAGGTGCTGGACCACGGGCAAAGCAAGCTTTGCCTGGCTTGCAGTCAATGCAAAGCTGAGTCTTCTGTCTCTGTGGTTAAAGAAAAGCATACGCATATTAGCATGGGGAACCAGGCTGCCACGCTGCACATGTACAAATGAACCTGTTACCTGGCAGCCAGCTGGGAGGCTCTGGCCATGTCTATGTCGTTGAACTTTCTTAGCTTCCAAAACAGGGTGGGTGCATCCAAACTGCCTGTTGAGAGTAGTTCTTTTGGCACCTCTAAAACTCTCCCCAAGAGTTGTTTGGGGGAGTGCTTAGCTGGCTAGCTAGGTCGTCTTTGAGATTACATTCAAAAGCATTCAGGGATTAGCCTAACAATTCAACTGTGCAGATGATCATATTTCTGACACTTTAATATACTAGCACTGATGTGGTCTTAGTGACTAGAGCAATGCTGATTCGTATGTATGCATATATACAAATATATAGGAATTTTCCCATTTCTTCCAATCATGCCTTTAGTTTCATTCAAAGAACCTCCCTATGTGCATAAATCTTTTCCTTTTTCTGAGGAAAAACAAACATGTATTCAACTTCCATTTCATTGTGACTTGAGTAAGTGCTTCCTATTCCTCCCTAGTTAAATCTTCTTTGTTTTTTTTTTTTTTTAATTAAAGTATTTTGCTGAGTTAAATATTCACCATGTCATTGCTTTCTAACACCCTTAAATCACTGGCTTGTTATGAACACTACTCTTGATGAATGATAATAATAATGCTGATGTTTTTCGGTTGCTCAGAGAATTCCTCTGTGCTTTGCTTTACTGAGCTGGAAGATGAGGGACTTTATTATGCCCTCTCTGTACCATAAATTTCTTGGTTGCGAGGTGGCCTGGTGGCATAAGATAAAATTTATACTCCTCTGCAGAAAAAATACTTAAGCAGGAAGATGAGGTTTCTGCCCCAATCAGCAGTGGCAGAAAAAAACCCTTGATTTGAAAAAAAAAAACAAACCCAAACAACCAACCACAAAGCATTTCACTTCAAGCTGAAGGAGCTAAGGTGCAGATGCTGGTCAGTGAGCTACAGAGTTCTCCAGGCACAAAAATAGATTCACCAGCATTGGCTCCTGCACTATATTGTGTTTATAGGCGTCATTTTCTGGTGAAATCGGACTGATTCCATGGTGAGCCAGGCTTCTGGCTGACTGCACAGAGGCTTTTCTGGCTTAAGACATTTGAGGATGAGGGCCTTATATTATTAAGTGCAATAGATCAGCCTTCCTGACCTCTTCCCTGTTATGGAAGAGCAATTTCTTACAGTATTTTCTACAGAGGCCAAAATATTCTTTTACATGAGTCAACATGGTAGATTCCTAAGCCTCATGATTCCAGGTCCGAATACCTTGCAGAGACATCCAGGTTTGGTGAAATGATTTGGAGACCCTCCCTTTCCTCCACAGCTGATACTCAGTTTTAGATGCTTTCATGTGGTAGGAGATCCTTTCCTCTCTGCAGATATATGATTCCTCCATCCCCTGAACTCCACTTCCCTTCAGTAGTTCTACTCCTAGTAAGTGACTCTGTCATATCCAAGCGGTGTGAAAGCAAATAATATATCATTACATATGTCAGAATGTGTGCAAATAATATGGAAATAATATTGAATATAAATAATCTGCAAAAATTATACAATGGAGCCTTCTTTTTGGGAAAAAAATCAGACAAACTGGAAACAGTTAAGGGCTTTAATTAATCCTTTAATTCATAATCCTTGCATTTATCCATACTTTGTTTACAGAATAAATAATGTTTTGCATGTCTAGACCTCTAATGGAATAAGCAGGGCTAAAAAATCTTTAACCGCAACATTCTCGATCTTGATTTCCCACACTGCTATGCATTAACCAAGTGAATGGTGGAGCATGGGAAAGAAGTAGGGAGAAAGTGAAATAAAACATGATGAAAAATCAGTGCAAACATGAAGTGAATCCTGAATAAGTAAGAAAGTTAGGGGATCTTGTGCTGTGTATCAAAAAAAAAAAAAAAAAAATCAGTGTGGTGATCAGAGAGAAAGAAGATGTGATTGAGACTTACTGGCTGAAGAACATCGTTAAACATTAGGTAGTATCTTTTCTAAAAATAAGTGGTTTCAGACTGATTGCAACAGCACTTGGATGAAATGGGATCCTACTGCTCTGTGGCTGATGCAGAGCTAGACTTACTTTGAAAACTTTTCCATCTAGACAAGCAAAGGAAAAAACCAGCCTCCCACTCTTACAGAGAATGTATGGTTAGATGAACAGACATACTCAAGCTGCCCCGGGATTTCATGGGCAAGGCTAAGAAAGAGAATACACATCTCACGTCCCAAGCCAAAAGCTTCATTTCACAATAGTTCAAATACCAGCTTGGCCAGTGGGGCATCTGCATGTCATTACTGTCTTGCCATCAGTACTTTTTGTGATCCTGCTCAAGAGTCTCAGTCTTTGTATTGTTGAGTTCTCCTTAATCCTTACGCTATAATTAAGACAACAGTGTTTTCCACCTTTGCATGGATGTTTTATGAGTAAATTGTTGTGTTGAAGTACTCTTTGATAGGAAGACATTATCCATTCCAAAAGCCAGGGTGAGGGCAGGGCAGGTTAGGGATTGAGTGGAAGGAGCCAGAGGAAAAACCCGCAGTGTGACATGTGGGTTACCCATGAGGGATGGGGTGCCTTGATAAACTTGAGGTTATTAAAGACTTCTAGCCCAGCTACAAGGGATGCAGCTGAAAAGAGTTCACTGTTTTATACTGTCATAGTCCAGCTTCTGGGAGGACACATGAAAAGACACGAGCAGGATTTCAGCTCAGCTTTTCAAAGAAGCCTATAGGCATGTCATGGCAACAACTCATGCTTCAGTGCAACCCACATTCATGCCAGCTCTGTGAGGGACACTAAGCCCTTTCAGCAAATCTACTTAAGCTTAGCAAAGTGCTAACCTCCCCACACTGAACTCCAAGGAAGCCTTCAAAGGGCAGGAAAAACGAATGTAAAAGTCTCTATATCTGCCTGTGCAGAACCATCCTCCGAGACCCAAAGTCTTTCTTGACAGTCATGTTAAATGTCAGTGAAATTTGACAAGTTTGGCTCCACTGCAGCCAATGGAAAAAATTTCATTTTTTGCTAGATTTGAGGTTTCCACCTGTTAGCCTTTTTCTGTAGTCCCATCTCCAACAGCACTTCAGTTCCTTTATTGATATAAATAAGCGTGTAGCTGGAAGGGTACCCTATTTTTCACCAAGCTCTCCAGGCTTGTCTGAATTCCTAGACAATGCATGGTCAAAATTATTCTTCTTCCTTCTTTTTATTTTTTCCTCTTATGTCTGAAGTAGAGGAGTGCATTACAGACAAATTTGCCTAAGGCTTTGGGCCAGAGTTGATGAGACTTCACAAAGATACAGGAACAGGCGCATGGATAGAAAAAAAGAAAGCCTGTGAAAAATTAAAATGACAAGCCTGGTTAGGGAGCAGAGATAACTGGTGATGTAGTAAAATTAATTACAGTCTGGGTTGAAGGAATTGTGTGCCTAAGACAAAATTAAAAAAAAAAAAAAAGAAAAACCAAATAACAGCAATGAGATTATAAACCCTTTCATCATCTCTATATGGTATAACTCCAAATCCCTATTTATTATGACATATATTATGGCATTTATTTCTATAGGATGAGAGGTATAAATGGCAAATAAAGGAGGCAAGTGTCCAGTCAGAGGGCTTTTCTCTGAGCTTCTGATTCTGCAATGAATAGCCTTATTAAGAGTGAAATTACACCAAAAAAAATGGTGTGGACTAGGAACTGTGAGAGAAAAGTTTCACTGGATCAGGAAAACTGCATGATGCAACACTGCCAGGGTGATTATGGGTACTCGGTGATTATGTGGATTCACAGGTTTTTTAGATTTTTTTTTTTTTGCAATCATTATGCATTTGCCAGGACTTGAAATTATTCCAGCTTTGTACCTACTAAAATGTGCAAAATGTTGGGTGATGATTTGTTGATCAATGTTATAAAGCTGATTGCAAGAACAAAAGCCAGATACACCATAGGATCGTTCCAAGATTTCAGAACACACCAGCAAAGGGTGTTTGCACGGGGATTTCTCTGATCTATAAAAGGAGTGTGCTTTTGAGGGGTGGGGACAGGAGGTAGGCGCTACCTGAGATACAAGATTTCACATATTAGGTGACAGGACAGAAGACAACCAGGGTGTGAGTTTGCAGCGGGGGACAGAGAAGTTCCTAGGAGCATGAGGTCAACCTAGGAAGTGCCTTTGGTAGATAACATAGCTGCTTTTCACTGGCTCAAATCTCTGTGTGTGTGTGTGCAGGTCTGGAGATGCCAAGAAGCTGCCACCAATCTGCTACTGTCTCATCAAAGCATTTCAAAATTTTCAATTTTCAAAGAAGAAAAGGAAACCAGAGTAATCATCCCATTAGTGAGTTTTCCAAACAGGAAAATAGAAAGACATAGAGAATGTTTTATTTTTGAAACTGGAAGGTGAAATCTCTTTTGAAGGAGGGTCATCTGGGGAGATATTTACCCTACCTTTTTGTTTGCTTTCTTCTCCCCCTGCCCCATCCTCTTTTCTTTCACATTCTGACCAGCAAAGAGGAGAAAAGGAGTAAGGAAGAAGGAAAGAAAAAAAAAAAAAAGACACAACACTCTCGAATTAGTTAAAAAATAAAATATTATAAATTGCTCAGCTTGTCCTTAGCTTTATGCTCAAAGTGAACATTTTGGCAAAAATACCCAACAAAACTGGAAGACAGAGTGAAAGGAAGTTCTGACCCTATCTGAGCTTCTGTTCCTCTCTCTTGGTCTCCAGCTCAGTGAATCATTTTCTCCTAAAATACTCCCAGCATGCTGTCAGCTTTGCTTCAGATGTTTCAATTCAAAGCTTCTCCTCACGTTACAAGTGAAATGAAAAATAGTCCCTGTTTCTGATGAGCCTGGCTCAAT